AATTACTTCTTATATTTATAGGAAGAAAATGCTAATATAAGAAACTTAAGTAAAGATGCAGGAGTAAAGAAAATTTGCAATGATTTTATATCAAAGAGGAACGAAGTCTATAAATTTTGTGTTGCCTTCAAGAGATATAGTAACACATGATCAATGGATTGAAGATGATCATATTAAGGAACGCGTAGCTAGTGGAATTACTATATTCTTTACAGGAGATTAAGCTGAACGTACTTCAAAAAGTTTCTGGAGAAACTGAGAATACACTAGTAGAAATTATAGCTCGTTTAATAGATATGACCATGTATTATTTACCTGTAGATTATGAAGTTGAAGTTATTAGGGCTGAACGTCAAAGTAAAGCCAGTAAAAACTGCAAAGTTCAGCAAAAAAGTGGATTGAGAGGAGATAAATCGAACCTCATGTTTCGTTGCCAAAAGTGGGAGGAGATCGTTTTCTTTAAAAGTGGGAAATAGGATGCTGATGAAGATAAAATCTGTTATGATTATAATAAATTAGTGTAACTCTATTTAGATGAGTCTAAAGAGCTTGTAAAGAAATGTACGAAAGAAACCTTCTATCAAAATTATATAGGATTCAGTGTTAATATTGCAGGTAAATATCTTGAGATCAATGATTTAATAATGGAAAAAGAGATAAGATACCATCTTCCAGTCATTAAAGCAAAATACCTCTTGGTAAAGAGTCAGTTAAGAAAGTTGAAGAGTTCATTTATGTTTTATTAGTTTTACAAATAAGTGTTTTTCTTATTTATAAATCTATACTTAGTTATATAATTATACTGATATAAAATCTCTAATTGCAGAATAGGGTTATTGTAAATTTACAGAGTATTGTAAATAGTTTTCAAAAAAATCAAGAAAGACAAGTAATATAAGTCCTTCCTTACGTGAAGCTGGAAGATAAGTAAGAAAAAAAGTGCAAATTTCTAGAATGTATTTATATATCTTTTATTATGTATTACTATTTTTTCTATATCAATAAAGTGACCTTAGTGATTGATTTTACAAATATACATTCATGTTTTTTTCCTATTGATTTCTCAGGTTGATCTATGAGAGATAGCTTTGATATTGCAGGAGATAATTTAACTATTTTAATAAAGATTTTTTTCTTGGCAAATTTTCTTCCTTATATCTTTAGTTCTGCAGAAGATAGCCTATCCTAATAGCATACCTTGATAGGTTATCTTTTTTCAAATGAATATGAGAAAAAAGAAGTATATATTAAATAATAAAATTTTTTTGGCTATTTTTAGCCAGGATGCCCTAATCAAAATCACATATTTTATTTATTTTGAATATTTCATATTTTTATATAAAAATTATTGATATGTTTAACACACAACCTAACAATTCATTAAAGGAATTAAATGCTAAGCTCTTAGTTGAGATTGACGAACTTAAGAAGAGATTTGCTGAGATTACGGTCAAGAATGATGAGCTTGAGGCTGAGAAAGTTGAGTTTAAGACCAAAGTTGCTGAACTTTTAAGACAGTCTGCTGAAGAGAATAAGATACGTGATACCAAGATTAAGGAATTAGAGCAAAAAAATATAAAGCTTGAAGCCAGACTTGTGATAGTGAAACAGGCTTACTTGGTGGTAGATGAAGAACCTCAGAAGCTATACCAGAGGTAGAGGTATCAGCTGTTAACATACCTGATTTTTAAGAAGTTTAGCGAGCCAGCTCATATAGTAGACCTAATTGCAAAATATATGGTGATGTATTTATCAATTCTAAGAGATTAGATGATGTAAATACAGATGCTTTCTTAGACAAGTTGTATAAGAAAAGGGTTAGTGATAAGATTAGGCAACATAATAGGGAGAAGAAACTTAGTAAAGCAGAGCAAACCAAGATCAAGAATCAATTCCAAAAGAACCATTTGATACTGGGTGTTTTGCTTCTGAAAAGATACCAGTGATATTTAATCCTATGATTGAAATTTCAGCTGGAATGCTTTTACCGAAAAATAGTTATAGAAAAAAAGGTGCAGAAAATATTTTTTAAATGATATCTGATAGTATTCAAAGGGATGCATAGTTTCAAAAATGTATTCTTGGTTTTTCTAACGATATATTATCACAACAGAGTTGAATTTCTTCTACAGTACCACTTCTTACTTTAACTTAATTATTTGATAAAGTGACTAATGCTAAATATGATGCAATTCATGCGAATCAGGAAAAAATTTTGTTCTAGTGCTACTATGAAAAAAAATTTATAACTCAAGTTAATGAAATTATGAAAAATAGAAAAATTGGTGAGAAAAAAGCGAAAGAAAATTATTTATGATAAAATGTTAGAGGATTTTTCCATTCTCTGTAAAAAGAGATCTGAAAAAACTGGTTTATAATTCCTAGAAATCACACGTAAATACTTGTAAAAGAAACTCAGAAAGCCGTAAAAATATATAATTTATTTGAAAAAATAGGTGTAGAAAATATTAAATATATTATGACATATACTGCGAACTCTATTTCTGAGTTGACTAATGATAAAGTTCAAAATATCATAGATAATTTCTTCAAGCATAATGATAACGATAACGACAATAATAACAATAATGCTAATTTAAAGAAGTATCAAGTCACATGACTGAGATTTCAGCTGAGATAAGCATTTCAACTACACCTGTTCTTTCATTTTATATCTCTAATTCTCCAAATGATTCCTTTGGAATCGATTTAAAGAATTTACCTACTTCACAAAGTGATCAGCTTATTCTACTCCAGAAGAAGTTACTAAAATAGAAGCGTGATAAGGTTATTAATTTAGTGATAAATCGATTCAAAAGAACAACCTCATGTTTAGATCTTCATACTAGTATAGATAGGAAATGTGTTAACCAAGTAGATTGCTATCTCATCCAAGATATACAAATCTGTCCTATATGCAAAAAAAATCATTGCTATCTGAAAGGTCACTGGTTGATCGATAGTGAAGGTAATAAAAATCTTATTTGATTTGTGATATTATCCAAGAACTCAAAATCCCAGTTAATGGGATGTTAATACTATATTCTGAAAAAATAAGTCTGGATAGCTGGATTCATCTTCTGAAAGTTCCAAATAGAGAAGTAACAGTAAAAGCATAGGGAATATTATGTTTATGTATCATGGACAACGTCTCAATTTGTATTATTTTTTGCGTATTGTATCATACTACTATTAATAAAGTATATTTGTCTTAGTATTTCTAACGAAATATTGAGGTCAAGGGAATGACAGTTGCTGATTAATGGTCAGGATGTCACGTGAAATTCTTGATCAAAACTAATTTTGTGTCTAGCAGATCTTTTGAATTTTTTTCTTCAGAGCTAGAAAAAGAATAGTATTACACAATTTTGCGATAATAGCATAGTATTAATATGGTATTTTTTTCAGATCTAATAGTAATATATATTATTTAATGTGGTATTAACATGGTAATCCTTTTGAACTTATCATAACATATTTTTATCTAGCTAATAAATCTTACTTTCATGTGATTTTAATCAGATCTGGCTAAAGATATTCAAATCTATTTGTATAATCTAAGCCACATCAATATATTAAAATCATTCAATATAAGATGATTTGGTTTACCAATCTTTCTCCCTATGTAATTGCAAATATGTAATTAAGGAAGATATATATAATAGTTTGGTCTTGAACAGATCTTCTTTTAAACTAGAAAAAATAAAAAGTTTTTAGCTATGTATACCGATGATCAACTTCGAGTCTTGATCGATAACCGCAAAGAAAATAATGAAATGTTTTATGAACTAGCTGGGAATAAAAAGAGAATTTTCTGAAAGAAAGCCTCCATAAAGATCAACCTTCAGTTTGGATTATCTTATACTGGTACGCAGTGTAAGGAAAAGTTTAGGAATCTCAAATGTATTTATAAAGTATGTAGAATTCCTTCTAAAATATCTGAAATCTCAGCCATGCACAGCGCCTGATGCCAAACTAATTTATCTTTTCTATTTAGCATATGAAAGCATACATTAATAGTAAAGCCAATGGGAAAAAAACTAAGAATGGTCTCAAGTATTATGAGGAATTCAAAGAACAGTTTTGGAAAATACCAGGTAAAGATTAGTTAATCAAAGGAAGGAAATATTTATGAGAAGATATACTAATCCCCTAATATTTTATTTCACTATAGTGACTGACTATGATCGGCTTCATAAACAAAATATTGCAAAAAAACATCAAACCCCACCATTACCATATAAAGAAAATAGAGGTTCTACCTCACAAATACCATCACTACACTCGTAATGATAGGAATAATTATATCTAACTATTAGTGTTTTTCGCTGTAATTATTTTATATTGCTAGAAATCACCCAATACTTGTATAATGTGAATATAAAAATAATATCATCATTTTTGAAGGAAAATTAGCCGAGAGGCACTTTGCATGAATTAGCTTAAGTACTTTTTCCCTTGCGCTTCTGCCTCACCTATATCTCTTTCTGCAGGTTCAATGGTGTGTCAAACCTTAGCCGAATTGCAAGAGGATCATCTTCAGGCCTACTGAGATCAAATACAACAAACTCACCTTTGCAGAGGTAGCTATTAATGACCATGGATGCGTTTTTTACATCATCAGTATAACAACCAGCTATCTTAGATAAATCTCAAATTCAAACATAAAGTATTTATTGCTACTATGAATTTGGTCATGTGTTTCAAGTTCAATTCAAGAAGATAATCAGGGTACGTTTTGAAAATTTAATTCAAATAAACTAAATAAATCTCTACAAATATAAATTTTATGTTATAATATGATGTGATTTAGCTTTAAGCGAATACATGTATTGTATTTTTAGCTACTTTTTTTGCATTAAAGATCTATTATTAGAAAGTGAAGTTAATTAAAAGTTAAAATATAGTGTAACTTGACTTTTTTCGAGGAGAAGTTTGATTGTCTGGCAAATCACTATCAGATCCTGACCTCTTGCTCCGCTTATTTCTTAAAGCTTCTTTCAAATTATTGCATTTTTTATTGAAAGTTCTATATTTCGCTTAATACGATACTAGAAAAATAATAGAATCATAAGAATGGGCAGATAATTTATTATAGGAATGTCTTTAAACTTACCTTGGCAACAAGGACTTCGTGAATTAAAAATATTAGATCTTCTACATCTAATAATGACGATGGTACCCTGAATTAAAGATTTTTCCGAAATCGGCATATATAACCTGCTGGGAGATCCATGATGACTTGTTGTAAATATTGCGCTTGATAAATTAATAAGCATACAGTATGTTAGAAAAATATCTGGAACTATATTATAAAAAGACGTTTCTTACCCGAATGTAGAAATCCAACAATTTCTAAACGCTGGGATCTTACGAAATCCATTCCAAGCTTGTCAGCCTTTTGCTTCATCATATCTTTCATTACCTTTAGCATTTTTAGCCCACCATCTGATAAGTATTTCGTTCCACATTTTCCCACAAAAAGTTTTCCCTCTTCACTAACAGCGTATTCTTCGATCGATGCGAGCTCTCGCAAAATTCCATCACACTTCCTGCCAATTTTAGACCTTGTTTCTGCACTTTCTCTTGTATTATTTTTTCGTTCTGATGATGCACGCGAACATCCTTCCCCCCTGAAAAAAAAAAATTGGTCACAACATGATTATACTGATAAGTGAAAATTCAAAAAAAAATACATTAAATAACTTACCGGATAAACTCAACTGTGCATAAATCAATAAGGCATGTGTCGATGATTATATTCCATATGTTAGAATTAAACCATCCCTCCAGGTGTGCTCGAGTGAAATCTCCAGATCTCAATTCATATCTTGGCAGGCTGACAACAGAAGATAGATAAATACAAGTCAACAATTACCATTAAAAATATGATTGATACTCACAGGTTAGCAAAAACTTGATAGACGTATTGATAATCAAAGTGTTTTTTAGGATCATATGGAGTTATGTTTATCCCTGCATTAATTTTATCCCGCATCTTTGAAATATCAGTCTATAGAATGAAAAGGATGTTATTATTGAGTAAAACATTCTCATTGTACTTGCAAGAAAGATGATACTCACTTCATTATATGTGACAAGGTATTCCATAAGCCCATCCTCCAATTGAGGGTCTGCCATAACATTGTATGTCTTGATATATTCTTGATCTTCTTTACCAAAAAAATTCATCAAGAATAAAACTATGCGATGGACTGGTAAAAATATTAGATTAGCAGATCATAGTAGATACTTTTAAATTTAACACTAACCATTCATAAGGGAGATCCTTTGAATAATTAAAGATAATGTCTTCAACATAACTTCCAGATGGAAGCTTCCACTTCATATCATTGCACATTGCGAGATAGTTTTTTTGAAATTCTTGAAACTGACTATTATCCACACCATCAATGCTGACCTTCGATTCTGACTGTAGTAACGCATCATCGCTCTTATTTTCATCATCGCTCTTATTTTCGTCATTCTTATTTTCGTCATAGCTCTTATTTTCATCATTATCTGAATAATCGTTATTAATTTCTGGAAAAACACTTGGGGACGAAACGTCATTGATCTGTACAAAACCAATCATAATAAGAAGAAAAGCTCTAGCCATCGACCCAGATTTTAAATTATCTATAATTTTGAATACTCACGCGATCTCGCTTGTTGGCTTGGTTAGATGTTTCAGCGCGTCTTTTCACTTCACTAACATGTACTGACGAAATTGTGGTCTCTATCTTCCGAACGTTCTTATCCATACGGTAATAAAACCGATTCTGTTATTAACCAAAAAATGATGTTAGTAGAAAAATTTACAAATTTACAAGAGGACATTTTCTTGCAATGAACTCAATAAAATGTTTCGTATAATAAATAGTGATTGTTTTTATGCTATACCTCTTCAGCTTTGTTTTTTTGCCGTCGAAAAATTTCGATGGCTTCCATGGATATTTTATACGAACCCTGAGAGAGAAAGATTATCAACATGCATGCAATAGTAAAACAAATCGTCATTAACTCAACCTACTCTAAGTTTCTTAATTATCGATTTCGCCTTTTTTGTGACAAGTTTCGTGGTGTACGGGTTATCACGCACGTCTATCGCCTTTTTTATTACTTCTTGTTTGATAAACGGGTAATCTTTTTCATCAAACTTCATTTGAGATTCTTCAAGATATTGAAGGGTATGCTCGAGCCCCCAATTCTTGCAGTCCTTGATGCAGTTATCGAAGGATTTGTCAATAGCGTTTTTGAGAGCGGTACGAGCCATTGTGTCCGTTGTTAAGGGAATGTGAGCTAAGAATTTACTAGTTCTAGTAGGATCGCGTATGACGTAACAGAATAGACGTATTGTGACGAAATCACGTGGTATTCAATTCGAGACTCGTGCATTTGTGATAAGCTGTGATATAATTATTACAGGGTTGGCATTTGGCCATTTGGCCATTGGCCGCGGCCAAAATGGCCAAAATTTTTTTCAAGTTTTGGCTGGCCAAATTGGCCAAATATATAT